ACAAGATCCATGCTGGCAACCGTGGGGACTACAGTCGGACAATATATAAATCGGTAGAGAAAGTGTGGAGCTTCCGAATAAGCGAACTAATGATTGACCACTATCCGTCGAAATTGATACAAATATGGTCACTGTACTATTGTAGTTGGAAAGTGGACACCGTATGGATGTGGCGTTGATGACGTCGGCAGCAACTGTCCAATTGTAGATGCCACTGAATATACATATAGCTCTAGATGAGTTTATGAGGTTGAAATTATCGCCAATCACTGTTACATTTGTGGCATTCATCGCTTGCGTGTCAGTAAGGTATATAGTGGTCAGATAGTAAATGATGGGGTCATCGGTGCAGTTAGTTCCGTAATGACGTGGCTGACATTGATCGCAGAAAGTTCCTGTAAATCGATGGGGATCGCTGCAAGTACAGGTGTTTTGGGTTTGGTGGCATGTGCCGTTGTTGTTTTGGCAGAGGGAGCAGGGATAGCAGTAGGGATAGGCGAAGCGTAGTGAGGCGCAGGTGGAGCAGGTAGGTCCGTCGTATGCTGGATAGCATGTACACTTTGTTGTGTTGAGGTTGCACATTCCTCGGTAGTTGCAGTCAGCTGAAGTCAGGCATGTGGAGTTGATGGGGATGATAGTTGTTGTTTGTCCATATAGGGTGTGTGTGTATGCATATATGGCTAGTATTATGAGGATATGAAAGCGTAATCCCATATTTATTTGTTTTGGGAGATCTGAAATTGGTAGTGAAGAACTGTGTGTTTTTGTTGCTTTCGAATGCTCGAAACCGTTTTTGTAGCTAGGAATTATTTTAAGTTTTGGAAATTCTTTTTATTCAGTTGTTTGTCTACGGGTACTGGGATTGGTTGAAGCTGTTTCTGAAGTGTCGGTGCTTTTTCGTAGACAGTGATCCTTTTGATTTGGTATTGGAAAAGATTAATCCTGTGAGTTATATAAAATTTCGTGTTGCCGATATGGGGTGTGGGTGTGTGGGGTGTGCGGGTGTTGGTGTGTGCGGGTGTGGGTGTGTGGGTGTGTGGGGTGTGGGTGTGGGAGTGGGGGTGTGGGGGTGTGGGTGTGGGGGTGCTCTCTAAAGAAAAGGAGTTTTGCAGAACCCTCCGAAAAGGTTCTGTGGATTTCTAAAAGAATCCAAGTGTGTCGAGAGTCTCAAAAAAGGATAAAAAATTCGACAGAACGTTTTGAAGGTTCTGTGGAGCACCCACTAGCAGAACCATCTCTTGCAGAATCTTTTTTTAGGTTCTGTAGAGCAAAAAAAGGTTCCGTGAGAAAATACGAAACCTTGAGGGTTCTCTACAAAACCATTAGGCCTCAGTACGGAACCATTATGGTTTCTCATGACACGTTGATGGTTTTGTACAGAACCCTCAAGGTTTTGTATTTTCTCACGGAACCTTTTTTTGCTCTACAGAACCTAAAAAATGGTTCTGCAAGAGATGGTTCTGCTATTTGGTACTCCGCAGAACCTTCAAAAGGTTCTGTCGAATTTTTTATCCTTTTTTTAAGACTTTGGACGCATTTGGAGCCTTTGAGTAATCTACAGAACCTTTTCGGAAGGTTCTGCAAAACTCCTTTTTTTTTAGAGAGTGGAGGTGTGGGTGTAGCTTTTCTCTTCGTTCACACCCACACCCCGCCCACACCCACCCGCGATGAGCACCGTTGCTCACTCGATTTCACCGATTTGGCTACTATGGTTACAGGAGATAGGCCTTGCACACCTAGACAAACACCGAAAGTATCAGCTCAAACAGATGACATGTTCACGAGATATAGATCTCGCAAGTAGGAGTCGGTAGGCCTTGCTTTCAGTGGAGTGTGGGTGTGGATAATAGAACAACAATACCCAAATCCACAC